CAAGTTACTCCTTGCTTGTCTGCCTTACCCTGCCTTGCACAGAGAGGCCAAGAGTTTGTCTAGGGCCACAGTGCAACTAGAGAAGCCAGAAGCCCTAGGGAGGGTAGAAGCTCCAAGCAAGGGACTCTGCCTCAACCCTGCCTCTACCACAAACGCTTCTTGATTTTCATGGCCCTTCCCCTCCAGGAAGCCCTCTAATGTTACAGCCTACGCAGAGATGCCCAGCTTCTGAGCTCCCACCAGCTCTGCCAGGAAGTCAGAACCACAGGCCTCCCTTAATTGACTCCTCTCTCAGTCTGGTATCTCCTACAGTAGGCCAGCAGGGGAGCTCTCAGGGTTCCTTCTTCATTCTCCCCTCCATCTCCCTGAAGCATGGACAGCACAGGCCACAGACGCCTGGGTCTCCGGTGGGGACCAGGTGCCGGGCAGGACTGAGAAGCAACAGCCAGGGTGAGTGTCAGAATGACACACAGGTTTTCACCCACCGACAAGGTTCTCAATTGTGTAGCGTGCAGGACAGGCAGAGGGGGCATCAGGCAGCTTCCCTTCTGCTTGCTCCTGCAACTCTGGGCCTAGACCACAGAAGGGTGGGGGTGGGGGGAAGCGGAGGGAAGCTGCGGTTGGAGGCCCAGCCCCACAGAGGCGTACATAGCTAGTGTGTGATGAGAAGTTACTCTCATCATAGTACCTCAAAACCAGGAAGAGAAACTAAGCAGGCAGAAAGGGTGAGATAGGCTGTATGTAGCCCTCAGGTCCCTGGGGGCCTGGCAAGGAGAGCTCCCGGAAAGTCACTGGGCAGATCACTTCTCCCTTCTGGGCCCCAGTTTCCCCAAGGAAATAATAGGATTCTCTCCCTGGTTCTGCCAGTCTGCCCGACTGGTACAGGCTGCATCCTGCTTGATAAAAGACCCCACAATTGGTGGAATAGTCCTGATACTCCAGTGGGCTGTGGCCTCTCCCAGGAAGCAGGGCCTTGGCCCTCCAAAGCTAGCCTCGCCTTGCTTGCTTCTCCCCTCAGCAATGCAGGGAGCACACTAGCTCTCCCTTCACCAGTTCTTTATTTTTAGGTTTGAATTTAACTTTAATCATTACTTAGCAGATTCTATTTCCAGTCCTTGGATGAAGGGACCCAGAGGCAGTGCTCCCTGCCTGGTGTGGGGGGTGGCCTGCTCCTCTGCCCAACCTGCCCAACCAAGGAGTGGAGACTAAGAAACATCCAAAGAGCTAACCTAAGCCAGACTAGCATCTTGTAGAGGACCCCACCCTGTGACCTCATCCCAGCCCAAGCTGTAGCACAGGAGAGCAGCTGTAATACCCACTTCCCTTGCACTAAGACCATGGAGGAAAGAGACACTCCACAGGCAGAAGTGTGGCAGCCAGAGTCAAAGGTCACATGCGTGGGGGACCTCTGTGTTGAATGGGCCATTTCAGGAAGGATCCTCTGCCTAGGTTAGTCTGAGCCACCCCAGGGTTATCTGGGATGATGGTCTCCTAAGATCCGGGAGTAACAAGCTGAGACTGGTTTCCTCCTACTGTCCATGGGGTGGCCCCAGGAGGGGCCAGTCTCCACAGAAGCAGGACAAGAGGAAGCAAGTTGTGTCACAGCAGTACACACTCAGGTTAGACCTGGGGACACCTGCCAAAGAGGGTGCTAACACACAAGACTTCCCCAGGGATTTGTGGACCATCTATGTTCTCTTTCAACTACCCGCTGGGAGGCTCTAAAAACCCTGCCTTCCCCACAGCTTTCTTCCCTCCCCCAGCCACTGGGAAGATGAGGTTGGCATGGCTGTCCCTGGGTTGGGGCTCAGAATGCCTGGGTTCTTTGCCCAAGTCTCAGTTTTCCCAGGGAAAGGAGGCCTCTATGTCCACTGGGGAAATGCAGGGCTAGCCTAGGAAGAGATGAAGGTGGGGGACAGGAGACAGCTGAGCTCTCAGAGGCCTCATCCACTCAGCTCTGATGCTGCAAGAAGAGAAGAATGGGTAGGATCAGGTTCCAGAAACCAACCAGCAGCCCATCTTCCCAGAGCCAGGCCCATGATCTGGGCCAGCCAATCACAGGGTGATGGGGAGGGGGAAGGCAAGGAACAGAATAGGGCACTGGCCAGAGTAGTCTAGAACCTCAGGAACAGAGGGTGAGCCATCAGCCAAGCCCACCCCAAGTGTCTTTCCCATGTGTTCAGGCAGCCTGTGGTGTCAACAATATCAACCCCTCCTGACAAAGTGCCTATGGAGGCCAGGGGCTGTGCCAGGCACTTTCTAGCACCTTGGTTAGTTTACATTGTCTGCACACTCCCCACTGAAGCAAGTATCACCATTCCTGGTGTGTGTATAAAGGAACTCTGACTCAGAGGGTGATCTGTACAGGTCCCCTCACCAGGCCTAAATGGCATGGCTGGGCCTGGAACCTACATTGATTGGGAGCCAAATTGCCCGCTCTCTCCAAAACTCCTGGCTGCTTTGGGGCCTAAAGCAACCACCACCACAGCAACAGGTGGGCAACAACAGTGCACATGCTCAGTAAGAAGGTCTGGGTGAGGTTGCTGTGGCAGCTATTTGGAAAACTCTATAGCTTTTTAGAGGCAAAGTTACACAGACCATGTAGCAACATGAGAAAACAACCACAATCACAGTATTAAGTGAAAAAAGGTGTCATGGCATGCACATTCAAATGACAACAGTGACGAAGAAAAAAACAAGGAAAGACTGGCAGGGAACTCCAAAATGCTACAGTCACTGTGCTGGTAAAGAAATAGTGGGCGATTTTTGTTTTGTTTTCTAAATTTCCTGTATGCTGTTTTGTTACTTTCTAAATTAAGAAACTAATACACACATAGTTTTCTCATAATGAGCTCAGATTTGCTTTCCTGGGCCCCATCTGCCCCCCAGCCCTGGCCTTTGTGTCTGGGGCATTTTTTGCCATGGGGACGGCCTTTCCGTTAAGGGGCAGCCGCTCAGACACACTAGGGTCTCTCCCTACCATATCTTTCCCAGACCAAACACCTCTGCTTTGTGGGAACCATGTGTCAAGGCTTTGAAATTTCTCAAAAGATGAAACCCAGAACTGGACCCAGGCTGTCCTGCCCGATCAAGCCACCTGGAGGCTTGTTAGAGCAGCCTGGTCCCATTGTGGATCCTTGACTTCAGCCCCTGCCTGCTCTCAGCTGCTCTATTGTGGCTCACCCTCTTGGGGCCTGGTGTCCCCTGCAGTGGCGCTAGGGACAATTTTCTGGTCCTTCCTTGCCTCCAACCCAATTCAGAGAGAAAAGGAACCACTTCTGAGAAGGAGGAAGGCACCAAGCTCGCCGGATAAAAAGCAGATTCATGCACACACCCTAGCCTGACACCAGACCCTTTTCCATAAAGGCCTGAGGACCCTGGCCACATCAGTACAGGTCACGGTCGGTATAAAAGTGCCTAACCATGCCAAGCCTCAGCTCCAGCCCCTTAGGCTAGAAAGAAAGTTAGGGTCGGGTGAGAGAAGCCCTCACAGGCCCACCACATCTGGATCCCCTCCCCTGTGCATGTCAGGATGACCAGAAAAAAAGAGCTTTAAATCAAGGATAAAGGCCCGAGAAGGGCCCCAGATATGGCTCAGCATCCTCCAGGGAACTTCCTACCCTTTTCAGGAGCAAGAGAATCCTGTCACATTCCCAATCTCCCTCTTGCTGCCTTTGCCCTTTTCCTACTGAGGTCCCAGTAGGAACCCCCATGGTGTGAGGAGCTTGGAACAGGCACTGGAACCCCCATGGTGTGAGGACCTTGGAGCGGCCTCTGGGTGCCTCTGACAATGCTCCTATACCAAAGTTGTAGGATGCTCCCTGTGGAAACAGGGGTCTCATCTTCCCCATCTGGATCCCATTCACATTCTGAACTTGGCTGCTCCTATGCTAGCTAGGTCAGAGGTGTGGGAGGGCTGAGTCTGGGACTGAGCATCAAGCTGTTTCAGCTCAGCTCCACATCAGAGGAGTGCCCCCACATACCACATCCCCGTCAGTGGGACCCAGCCTCAGGCCCCAGGGGGGAAATCCCATGGGCAGTGCAGATGCTGTCTGAGCCCTACCCAGCAGAGCTGGGGCCGGAAATCCTCTCCCTCCTCTCAGCCCTCTGTACAGGCACATGCTCACTCCACAGGGTCCCTTGGGCGAGGCTGGGAGCCTGTGTCCCTGATGGGTAAAGGTGCCTGCCTTGGTTGCCCTCCACCTACAGAAGCCCTCAACCTGCAGAGTGGAGGATGCAAGGATAGACGGGGAAACTGCCAGAGGCCTGGAGTAGTAACTTCCCCCTTTGGGCCTCAGTTCCCTGGTCTAAAAAATGGGAGGGGAGTAGGTGAATCCCTAGTTAAGCTCCAAGAATCTGGTGGCTGGACACGCCCCTTCCTGACACCTGGCCTTGGCCCTGAGAAGCCCAGGAGACTGGGCTGACCAGACTGTTAGGAGGTGGGGACATGGTCCTAGTGCCCAATGTTACCTCCACCTAGGACAGAGGCCTTATCCAGTGTCCCCACCCAAGAGCAGTCCCTTGTCTTAGGCCTGGTCTGGGAGGCTGAGGGTGACAGGCTCAATCTCTGGGCCCTGGGCTTCCTGGAGCCCGCAGGGCCTCAGTGAGGAGGTGAGGGAGAACCAGACAGGCCAGGGAACCTGCCGGGAGGCCCAGGGTAGGGAATACCAAACTGCCCTTTCTCCAGGGCCCCTCCCTCCGGGCTCCAGCCAGCCCCCATACAGGGGAAAGAGGGGTACAGACTCGGAGTAGCCTGAGACAAGTCTGTGGGACTCATAAGGCAGAATCTCCCTTGCGCTCCCCCTCCCAGTCGGGCTGACAGTGACTCCCGGGAGAATTCGAACCCAGAAAGGAGGGGGTAAGGGAGATGGGGGATGGGAGTGGACGCGACAGCAGCTGCAACGAAAGCAAAAGAAGCAGAATGGGAGACCTCTACCCCTCTTCCCTCCCCCCCGGGAAGCACTCGTACGCCCACCCCCTCCAGGCTGCCAGGCACTTACCTCTCCTGTGAAACTGCGGTCCGAGCCACCTCGCCACGGGCAGCATCAGCGGCCTGCGGGACAGTCCATGCGGCCAGGGGAGAGGGAAGGGGCGCAGGGGGTCCCCGGGGCGTGCGGTACAAAGCGGTATGGGTGTGAAGAGAGGGTCAGGAGGGACGGCCAGGCGGAGGCGGGGGGCCGAC